ACCTCAGCAGGCTTCAGAAAGAGAACACAAATGATATTTCATATCAATATTGGATAGGCAGCTATTGGTTACTATCCTCTAGCAGTCTCAACTTTCAGACACGATGGCTTCTGGATTTCTACAAACAAACAACCTGTGAATCTATCACCCAATTTTCAGATATAATTCAAAAGGATATCAGAATTTTCCTCTTTTTGTATTTTTGTTTGTTTGTTGTTGTTGTGGCATGAACTCGGATCCAGAGTTTCATTGCACAAAAATTGCATTTTATTTGAATGTACATGTACAATTTATCTTTATACAAACACAGAATACTTGTAGTTGGGCATAGGCCATTTATTAAAACCGCCCCTCTCATTTCTATTTTAGACTTGCATTTAGGAAGGATGGATATGCACAGAAAGCTGATAAATAATATACTTTCGCAGATTTTTTGCAGAATGGAAAGTGTACCACAGACTACTCGAATAACCTGATCTGTGTGTAGAAAAAAAGAAATTAAGTCATCACTGAAAAAGTCTGATATTTTCAGCGGGTCTTGAAGCACCAGACTAATGGAGGGTGTACATCCCCTGGTGATATTGCATTTTTAGCACAGAGTGTGGGGTGGAGAGAAAGTATACAGCAAAATCCTGTATGTCTGCAAATAACAAAGTTTGTAAACATGCAATAACTGGGTGTGCCCAGTCAAATAGAGGTCAACTCCAAAAATATCAACCAACAAAATAATTCAACATTTGTTTGTTTGCCTTGGGGTACAAACTTGAAATATTTGAAAACCATACTGTAACATGAAACCAAAGGTAGAATGTAAGGCTAATGGTTACTTTCGAAAATACAGAATCCTAAAAAATATCTGTTTTTCAGCGGCCAGCGGCATGGTGCACATTGTAGGACTGCTGCACCCTACAAAAACACCCGCATCAGTCAAGGTGCTAAATAGAGGAGGGGGCATGGGAGGGGGCAAGCCATGAAAAGATAAATACTTCCAGGGATATCCTTCACTTCATCAATTAATTAAGACAAATTTACTCCAATCAGTCTTACAGGGTTGCAGGAGACAAGGAGGCGGAATGAATGACGTCAAAGATTATTTTAAGAGAACATTTATCATCTGCATCGTTCATGATGGAGTGGAAAACACTTGGACAGATTAATCAGTCATCTCCTGAATTAGTAAACTCCAATCTTGGCAGAAATGGATGAAAGTGGCTGATGGCCGGGTTGGCCTTTTGCAAGGAGTGAACATCTCCTTGATATAACTTCAGATGAAGTCAAATACATCAAGGGGGATCATTTCATGATTTTGGAGGAAAACTTTAATAGGAAAACTTTCAGAGGCTCATAAAAGGAAGATCCTTTTGGTAATTACCATAGGGGATCAAAACTTTTGCTTCTAATATAATGTATAGGAGAAAACAAAACTGAACAAAATATTTACGATTAAATGTACCGTACATGCATAAAAGCCAAAGAGTATGCGATGCAATAAATATACAAATTACTCCTATCTTATATGGCAAGATATTACCTATTTTGATAGTTTCCCTTCCCACAATCATTTCAAGAGGTATTTTGCCCTCTGCTTTGTGGACTTTCAACCAATGTACATGTACATGTACATGTACTGTATGTCTGGAAACTGATAATCTTCAGGAAAAAAGGCCCAAAATTAAAGTAGATTCATGTGCAGAGAGTTAAAGGAGCATTCCCTCAGGTACATGCATATACCGGTAATGCCTTTCATATGGTCTGATCAACACATCCATTTTTCTAGTTTATGCAGCTATGCATTTTTGTATTAAATAAGCTTTTATGCTGAAATGTGTGATATGGAATAAATTTCCCCAGACCCTGTATGCTTAAGTGTTATTATCATGAAGCAAACATGTTTATTTGAAAGTAATAAAACATACATATAGACCTACATATTGCTACAAGGAGACAACATGATAGTCTACAAGAGATCTTGCCTGGATGGACAGTCAGTATGACGTGTCCTTCCATATCTCTCTTCTCTCTCAACACCAGCCATGTAATCGATATCACAGCTTTAAATAGTATCTTCGAATAAATTGCATCCACACATGTGTGAGATGCCTCGCGCTTCTCTTTGATGTGATATGCTACATGTAGCTGTACGGTTAAAGTGTTTTTGTTTTTGTTTTTCAAGAAAAAGATGGGTGTAATGGTAGTTTTACATTGTTTACTTAAATTCTAGTGATCACCAAGTAGTTATCAGTCATATAAAAAGTATATGAACTCAGATCTACTAAATACAATGTACATGTAAAGACAATGGGGAGAAAAACCACAGACAAAATAATGTACATGTACCATCTTGAATTTGATCAAGCATATGCCCGCATATGCTGTACATGTAGATGCATGTACAACTGTTCATGTAACTGTTCTACCTTTTATAGATCTGCAAATAACTTTGCAGCATGTCAACAAAAATTATCTGACATACAGTATAAGCCCTAGATATTTCCTAACAATCACTTACTCAATATAATTACTCAATAATATTACTCAATAAAATTGCACCTACTAGTACCGGTACATGTAAGTGCAATAGTGCATGCATGTATATTCTTCCCTTGAACAAATTGTTCAAATGTTGTGGGTCAGGAGCTCAAACACACCTTCTTGTTTCTCCTTTTCCTCTCAAAAGCTGCTCTTTGTTCATTCACGGTCATTTATTTCAATTTTTGACACTCCAGCAACAAAAAAAAACCAAACCAGAATGACCTTGGCAATTGGCATTGTGTCATTATTTGTCAAATGATAACACCTTGGCTTTCAAACTGAGATATACATTTTGGGTGTTTTTTCTTATTAAAATACTTTCCTGGTTGAATTTCCATGACCACCTACATGTACACTGTACATTGAATAATGAATAGCTTCTTAGTGAAAAAGATAGCAACCATAAAAACCTAATGAAAAACAAGAAAATCAGTCTACACTTTAATGGGCCAAAAAAAAAAATTCATTTGGTTGTCCTTCACCGCCCGCTCGTCATTTTCTAGTCGCTCATATTTTTTTTTTTTAAATTCATTTTTTGGGGGGAGGGGGGATCAATTTTAAACGCCTAACATACCATTTTATGCATTTTTACCAATATTTTTGCCGCTCTGATCTTCTGATCCAATCAAAGCCCCAAGCCCAACTTACAGGGTTAACCTCAACAGTATCCAAATATGTAATTCATTTTTTTAGATGTAGTGCAATATTTAAACTACATGTACATGTACTTACATTGTAGGTATGTACATGTAGAGTTATAATAATAATAATAATAATAATAATAATAATAATAATAATAATAAAAACTTTACTTATAAAGCGCTTACCACTGAAGTCTCTAAGCGCTATAACAATGTATTTGCCAACATCTCTTTTTTAGGGTGGCAGTGAGACTGCGGTACAATCACAGGCAACGGGACGGGATTTATTCAACCTCATGATCAATTTTAGATTCTGTTATTGATATTCTCGGGGCTCAGGCAAATGTCTGCTTCAACCGCAATGAATGATGAAATTGATATTACATTTTTTGCTTTGCTGCTGCCTCTTTTCTTTGATGCAACCATGCCATCCAGACGGGCCTTAGGATCTCCTTCACTGGTGGAGTAAACAACCTCAAGTGCTACATGGCACATTTTTATTATAGGCCTGTTTTCATCAGCTCGACTTGGCCAAATAGCCCACTATTTCTGAATCGGGAAAATTAGCCTGATCATGAAATAGCAGGCTATGTGGCAGGTGAAGAGACAAGTAGCGGGCTATTTGCTCAGGAAATCTTCACAAGATATCTTGGGCGAGTTTGCAAAATAGCCTGCTATTTGTCCTGTCTGTCTTTACCAGCCCGAAGATTTGCACTATGCGTGAACACTGAGCAAATTTCTCTAGCTCGAGTTTCGAGCTGATGAAGACACAATTTATAACTTCGAGCTAATTTCCCGAATCAGATATAGCGGGCTATTCGGCCAACTTGAGCTGATGAGGACAGGCTTTATGGGTATTTTATGTTGGTTTTTATGAAAGCACTGATAAAAACATTCACTCTAAGCACTCAAGGCTATATAACAAGCATAAACACAGACTGCCATGACAAAGTCTGTGATGATATATGAAATTTAAGTGAGCAGACATCTACGGTATGTACATGTACATCAATGACCATGTACATATATGTTTTCTAATTGTATTTATGTTTTGTTTAAATTGAACCTAGCTGCTGAACATTCTAAAGAAGAGTTGATTTTAATTTGAATGAGAATATGTTAGACATAATTCAAAATTGTTCATTTACATTTGAAGCAGTGCAAATAGCATAGTGGCACATGTTGATAGACTACCGTAATTAACGTTGTATAAACCGCCCTCGTGTATTAACCGCACCCCTCTTTTTCGCCCTAAAAAAAAAAAAATTAAAAAAAAAAGTTTTTTTTTTTTTTTCTTCTTTTTTTGGCAGACTTTTTTTTTTGCCGACTTTTTTTTTGCTGACTTAAAAAACGGTAGAGGACCTAGGATAGAACCTTGTGGTACGCCGTGTAATAGAAGAAAAATTGGAGGAATTATTTTTATCAACTACATATTGAAATCTATCAGAAAGATTACTTTCAAACCAAGATGACAGACAAATTTGAATGTTGTTCTAGTTTCAGAGTGCCAGGCATAGCACCAGGTGGAGGGCCATAAATCGAAACTTAAAAAAAAAAAAAAAAAAAAAAATTGGTGTACTGTGTATAAACCGCACCCCCGACTTTGAATTTTTTTCGGCGGCAAAAAGGTGCGGTTAATACACCGTTAATTACGGTAGAAACTATCTATCGAGAAAGAAATTGAAAAGTCAAAGATTTATACTTAAATGGCCATTTCAATTTTCAAAGCCTCTTGCTATTTGATGATAGTGGAAATATTTATTTGTACAACACATGCAGATAAATCATTTTAGTAACAACAGAAAACAAACAATGAGTTTGACTTACCTTTCTGTAACTGTCTTCGATTGTGGGGTCATATTTTTCAACAAAGATTCCTTGAACGAATTGTACTGTCTGCAAGAAACAAATAGAAAAATAAAAAAATGTTATTGTAAGGTGATATGATATGTATTATTGTCTTGTTCATCTTCTTGCGTCACTACTCCCTTTTCCAGTGCTGGCCGGGATGGAGGATTTAGCCTTGGCGTTGAATCTTTAAAGTCGACCTGTCACTTTAAGAAGGGGGAAGGATAAGATTACTGCTAAGTTTTGTTGAACAATACCATCAAGAGCTTCAAAACAACCATAAGATTTCCTGTTAAAGTTTGGATTTAGATTTTAGAAGGATACTTTCAAATCTAGGACAGAACAATGCTGCATCAATAATCAGAATTGTTTTTCTCATCCTTTCCGACATATAAATTCTACATGTTTTAATCAATACTAAACTGAAAGTTGTTTGGCATGTATTTGCTGACTGAAGAGCTAGTTTATAAGCACATCAAGTTCTCAAGTTTACTTTTTATTACAAAAATAGAAATCATCACATCAACATAAATTTGGCCAGCATGCCATTCCGTTTCATAACAGATGTCTGTACCAATGCTGCGTGTACAGTAGTGTACTAATTTCTATATTTCAAAATCACATTTTTTATTCCCACTCCACCCATACAAAGCCCCCAATACTTCTTTCTTTTTATTCATAATAATTCTTGGAAAACACCCACTTCATATTTAAGTATACTGGTAAATACATTTTCTCTTTGTAGTAGTTTGTGACAAAACATGAAGTGAATTTACGATCATCATTCAAATTCCAAAGTACATTCCACTGATTCCAGAACCATTACTGCACAATACTTCCCATCAAGCAAGCTGTAGCCAGGCTACATTGTAATCAAATAAATAGTGAGTGGTGAAATATGTTGTATGGACATACAGGTATGGTAGACTGAATCAGTTTACAGGTTCTATGATAGTAGTCCATCTACCAAATGTGACTTTTGGTGTTGGAGATAGGGGTCAACATTGACATGGCACTGTATATGTAATTGTAAACATACATTTATGAAGTAAGCCAACATGTACAAACTGTACACATAAAGGCCTTTTGCTACACTGTGCATGTACAATACATACTGTATGTAAATGGAGCCAATTGAATTTTATTATGTAGGCCTACATGCACAAGTACTACTACAAGTGCATTTTTGTAGCTACATGTACATGTTCATGTACATAAAATGTATACATGTGTGTGTACAGTATGTGTGATTGTGTGGCAGTAAACATGAACAATATACTGTACATGTTTACAATGGAAGGGGGTGGGGTAGTGAGTACTTCAATTTTTTTTCTTCTTTCTTACTCAACACCCCTGCCCCCCCCCCTTCCCTGTTGAGCCAAAAAAAATTGCATGCGATCTCCCTCGTAGCATTTCCCCAAAGTTGACAGCCCTGCATACATGTACATGTACATGTACAATGTATGACGTACTACATGTGTCGGCTAAGCCTTATCTTTGCAACAATAAGACCTCTCCCACACAAAGCCTTTGGAATTACACACAAAACCACTCGGATATCTGAGATTTAACAGATTCAACATGTGATTATAAAAGCTAAAATAAGCAGCTTGAATTATTCATGTGAATTATTCATGTGGATTAGCCCAGTTAATTATAAAATTTACAGTGCTTCTGTTACCTCACAATGTACATGTAAGTAGGTGTCATCTTTTATACCATGTGCATTTCCAATAGGTTTCTATCTACAGAATGAGAATTTAGAGTTAGCCTTCATTTCAATTTGATTTATGTTAATTGTTATTTTTTTTTGGAAAAGACAGATGAGGGTTTCCATCACTTTGCCCCCAGAAACTCTTTAAACAATGCACAAAAATAGAGCCAAATAGGCCTGCAAAAGATGCAGATGATCTAACCATGAATTTTTAATTTTTGGGGGGCCAAATGCAATTGATTGATGACTGATCTAATTTATATGCAAAAACAAATAATATTACTTTATACCCTGTTGATAATGTATATTGAATAACATTCTTAAACACAATACACATGACATGATGCTATATTAAGTCTAAATGTCTATTTTGATTTCTATGAAAAATTAGATACCACATTTTTGTGATGTCATGAACCTACTGTATGTACACATGTAGGCCAATGAGTGCACAAGAGGAAATAAAACAATTGCAGCAACCTATTAATTGCTTATAAACTATATTATGTACAATGTATGAACAGGCTATGATGGTTGATTGCTTGAACATTCTTTATTATCAAAAATACCGGTAGTAGTGCACTTGTACCAATATCCACACATCTTGCATGAATTATATATTATGTAGACCAAACATGACAAAAATCTTGTTTTTTCCAATACCACTGTTTTAATACCAGCACTCCTGTGATTGTGAATACATGCTGTACAGATCTACATACCGGTAGTAGATTTTAGATTACATGTAAGAGAATGAATATGTGAAATGAAAACCTAACAGTCACACAATGCTGTCCCGGTGTTTGGCAGGCTACCGTAATGCTGAGGTGTGATGGACAGGAAAGCTAGGGTAGATTGATTTCGGATTAGTATTTATCAGGGTCACTCACACTACTGTGGATAGGTTGGGTGTGGAAGGTTGATGAAAAGCTTATTCTCTTGGACATGACAAACAAACTTGATGCATTTCTTTGGTTTTGAGAAATCAATGCTGTCAGGGTTAAAGGTACAAATGCTGCCTGGGTCAATGGACTTAATAAAACTCTAGGTCTATGCCCGTATATGCCAGTATGTACATGTAGTAAACAAGTGAAAGCTCCATTGTATAGGCCTACATGTACGTAACGTAACACAATGAATGACCCCTGTTGCATGATTTGGGCTGACCAATTGCATGTAGACTTTCATGACAAAATGTGAACATTTTACAATTACAAAAAACGGCATGGCTTTTTATACCAAATGTAGAGAAAATGAGAAATACATGTAGACGTACATGTAATGTAGGTCATGCAGTCCACATGTATTGACGTTGCCAACTTGTTGGCTGAGCAGGAAACAGAAAATGCACTACGTGTACTGGGCATGCATGTACACAAAGGCCAACCTACATGTACACTTGATACATACAGTATAACACTGCATTTGCACAGTGGGCCAGAAATATGATCTGCCAAACAGGTAAATCTTTTCCACAATGTGAACATGCAAGTAAGATTGTTGCTTGAGCAATAGCTGTTATTTGCCTGAATATGATTCATTGGTTTAACATTATAATAAAAGAAGAAGCATCTCTTTTAAATGTGGGCTGATTGAAAATGAAAGTTAAATATTTAGTAAACCTACTCATCAAAAACAGTTTCTGCACTAAGACCGGCAAAACAAAAGCTCCCACTTTAGCTAAATGGAAAGGATTATGGACATGCGTGAGAGGTTTCTCACTACAAGCCGGTCCTCCCACACACACAAGTAGGTCTTGGAGGGTATGTGTCATTGTGATTCTATGCGCACTCACAGGGGTGATTCACCAGCTTTAGAAATTATACTGGAATGTAGTTGAAAGGGAAAGCATTGTTTATGGGGGCTACTGACAGCATTGTTCACTTTGTGTACTGTCTCCAAGTGTAGTGTCCTCATACGTCATTTGTTATGTTCTTTTTTCAACAGGTATCATATGACAAAATACAAAATTTGCATAAAATACATTGTTCACCAATGAAACCCTAAAATGGCAAATAAGTTTTCAATTCAATTTTAAACGTTTAGCAAGAAGGACGATTTTGAAGAAGGTATGTCCAGTGCCATGCAAGTGCTGAGTAAATAGTTGTCCATGATTGTTAATAAATAGCTAAAATGGAGTGTCTAAAATTGAATTTGCACATCCATGATACAGGATAATGGCTACCAGATGGTACATGTATTAAGCCTATGGGATTAGGAGGATTATATTGTAAATACTGGTAGTTAAAAACAATATCGCTAATTCACTATATGATTTGGAAGAAATGATGAATCCATTGAAATATATTACCATTCTACAAACTCAATGATAAACGTGTAATCTACACGATCCAGTAATAACTGGCAAAGGAGGAAATAATTTCAATTTCAACTTACCAAAGCACTCTTGCCCACACCACCAGAGCCCAAAACCACAAGCTTGTATTCCCTCATTGTGTGTGAAAATTAGATGCTATGTCTAGGAAATTAGACCAATTAGACCTGAAAAGAAAAGAAAAGAAAAATTATGTTAATTAAACAATAAAACATTACATAAATAAATAAATACAGTTTCTGTAGGCCTACAAATAGCTATAAATGGAGCCATCTGAAAGAACATTTCAGAACAGTAAAAAAAATTTAAAAAAATGAAAACCTTGCTCATTGGTAACGGCATTGTTTAACAACGTTTCCAGTTTTACAAATCTGAGACGTATGGCCCTTCGTGTGTATTAGTGTCTGTGATATTGTGTTATAAATATTGAAGCCTTGAAAAAATTGTGCTTCAAAATGATCATGAAGTGCTTCAAAAAAGTAAAAATCTTTGAGGGACAAGTTTTACCATACCGGTACTCATTTACCCCATTAGACTGTAGTGTAATAAATAATAAAAACCGTTAGGAACACAGTTTTTGAAATTTCAAATTTCGATCATAAATATCATGATGATCAGACAGGTGATCTGCTTGTAAAAGTCATGGGATCTCTGACTGAACTAAAGGTTTATAATTATGATTGCAGCATGAGCTAAATCCAAGATTTTAAATAGAATCTGAGATGAAGATACCCAATCCCTTTAAGTATGTACCATATACCGGTACATGTACATACAGTATTACAAGTACATGTAGGTAGGCCTGCATGTACATATATACATTAATTAGTAATCTCTCCAAGACCCTGAAATCCTGTTTTATTGTAATGATGGCCTACTGAACTGCAGCCGCATAAACATGCTGGTATGATATCTGGATAATCTTACAAGCGTGGGCAATGTACCTCTCACACAAAGTATACTTGTTGTTTTTTCCTGTTTACAGGAGCTCTTTTTGAAATTGTAAATTTAAGAGTGATGTTCCCCCATCATGATGTTGTATTCGGTTTTTTTGTATGTGTGTTTGTTTGTTTGTTCTTTGTTTTTCATTACCGGAAGCCTACTGTTATTTTACAAGGACATTTCCACGAAAAGATTATATTTTACTGCTATTTAGGTGTTATCAATTGTCACTTAAGTACCGATTTTGAGTGAACTCAGTTCACTTGAGTTTTGTACAGTGGTGTTTGAAATGTTGAGAATCAACAGAGGTCGTTGTTTCGCCGAGCGATGATTTTTGCTTGGTTTAGATTTTCTCTTTTTTTCTTTTTTTGCTCTTATAAGCTACTATACACCGATTCGGTTTGGGGGTTTTATGTACCTGCCCGCCGGTGGCGGCGCTATAACTGGGGGGCTTCTCCGATCCAGCTGACAGTACAGAGAGCTCGAGAGCGGTTACTAGCTAGCGGAGCAGCGACCCTGGCCGGCCTGGGCGAGGTTCGGTATAGGTATAGCATACCCGTTGCAATGTAAGCTAGCTAGCTGCAGTCAGACGCCCCCCAGTTATGGCGTCACCTTATGAGGGCGCACTTCCACCAGAAGTCGCCCGAATCGGTGTATAGGTTAGGTTCGGCACTGTCGCCATGTTCTTCAGTCAGCACAGAACGCAGTCAGAAATGTAGTCAAGTTTGACTAGTTTCACAGTTAACCCGTCAGTTGTCATAGAAGTATTCCCGACGAAGTTTTGTCCCGCCACAGAAGTGAGTGTTTAGATTAATATAAACGGGAATGTGAACTCTTAAAACGGAAAATAAGATAGATTCAAGTTGAACTGTAAAACGGACTCTAAAGAACTGTAATTAACTCATTTGCATAATGCACGTGTGGCATTAATTCCAAGATTGCTGCACCTAAAATGGCCGCGCTCATGACACGTACTTTTCGTCATGTATTTTTCCAGTTAAATGATAATTGTCAAAACAGAATTACAATATTAGGCAAATATTGTTTTATGTCATTTATAGAGTAAACAGTGTATATATGTAGAAGTCCTAAAGATAAAGGATGTTTATATTTGTGCATGCTAGAATCTTGGATTTTATGCAGTTTGTTTGGGTGACAAAAGTTGGTCTGTGGAATTTGATTTAGCTTGCTTAAAAGTTGCAAGACACCATTTATTGACTTGGTGAAAGGTTAAGCTTTGCACCTCTGGCATGGTATTTAGAGTCAGAATTGAAGACGGTGTTTAATCATTTTTAAGAGTTAATAATGTAACTTGAAAGGCTTGCTGTAGTGATTACAGATTACAGGAGTAGATTACAGATGTAAATTACAGGTGTAAATTACAAGTTATGCCAGATAGTTTACTTTGTATTGAAGTGTAATCTCTAGATTATTACTGGGAAGTTTTATGCAAGTCAGATATTTAAGTTTAATTCATCAAACAGATTTAAATTGTATGAAGTCATTTTATAAGACAGTTTTTCTTAGGCGAGCATAAATATGCAAATTAAGCGCCTGTCAAAGTCAGTCGAAGGTCATATAGTATATTTAAAGTGACAATCCATTGTTGAGGTTTTTAGAAGGAATTTAAACTATGAAGATAGATTAAAATTATCAAGCTTGTGTATGGATGCAAGATAAAGATGTTTACAGTTATTTTGGTTCATGCAAATTGACAGTAATCTGTTTAAAGGGAAGTCAGGTTGGTTTGAGAAACTCTGAAAGTATGAGTATTTGAAAGTAATGCATATTAGAAAATGCATAAGGTTTTGTAACCATTGGTTACTCTGGATTTTTGTTAGTTAAAGGACGAGGTCAAGATTGACAGTTTATAGAACAAAAGCAAATGTGTTTAAATGAATCTTTATAGATACAGTTACTTGGTTTGTTCAGATAATTTGGATTATATATTGCATTCTTGTGTAACATGAATGATACTAAATCTGTCATTGTTATTTTATCTGTCTTTACAGATTGAATAAATAAGCTTCACAGCTTAATATCTCCATTTATGGCTGGACTCTCCGACTTCATTTTTCCCTTTCTTCAACTATTCAGTCGTCTTCAACAGTTCTTAATACACAAAAAGTATACTAATGCTGCTACTTTGTATGAATGTGTGGGCAAATCTGTGGATTAATTTCTTGACCAAAGATGCGAGTGCTGGCTGTATTGTAGGTACATGGATTCTCCACAATAACAAAGACAAAATATATGAAAATGCAATTTCAGAACACTAGATCTAGTGATATGAACAAAGGTAAACTAAAGGTTTAGGATCCCTTCTTTATTGGCATAGACCCCTGCCTGGATTGACTCAGATTTGTCTACACTGTCTCAAATTCAAAATGTGCCAACAAGAAATTAAAAAAAACATTAAAAAAAGTGTTCTAACAATCTACATTTTAATTTTGATTCAATCGTTTGTGTCAAAATCATCCTAGAACGCAAAGTTGGCATTGGCATTGCCATTGGCACACAACTCCACAAGTACAAGACTTAGCTTAATCCCTTACAATTAACCTACTTAATAACACCATAACATTCTGCACCACCACACAATTTCAGAAGATTCACAATGTCGAGGCAAGGTGACAGTCCACACATTTTCAATCAATGTGAACATCAATCAATTTTCTTTGCATCATCATTCATGAAATTTTGAGTTTGACACAATTCACAAGACACGCTTTTTCTGAATTCTGTTCCGATTAGATTTAGACTCTAGAATTTAGATTTCTTATTTCTCTTGTTTTTACTGTGTCCAAATTAAAACTAATCTCCAAACTTAAAAATATCGAGATCATTTTGAAATACAATTGTGATGTGCATGACTGCATGTAATCATATTCTCCAGTCTCAAGAACAAAAAGTCCACATCTGATCATGCACCATATTAAATCGGTCTATCAACATGATCAAAAACGAGCGGAAATGCTTTGCAACTCTCGCCAGAGCTATGGGATATAGATAGCGTGTCGAGGGTGTTCTGCGACTGGAGAGAGCATTTCGGCCCACCATTCAAAATGCAGTCAATAAGAAACAATAATTCAAGCGATTGCAACATATTCTTTAATCATGATTTCATTAAATGTACTACAAATATTAAAATCTACGTAAATACTTACTACTATTAGCACAAAATAGGAAAGATTTGTAACAAAAATCGGTACTTTTCAGGCTAGTTCTGTCGACAGCGCATACATGTACTGGCCAATGCACAGGGCGAGGTCGAAATTATGACCGGCTGAGCTGATGACGTCACATTATTTCGACCGTAAATATTTTTGAAGGCGCTCGTGCTAAAACGGCGACACCCTCTAGTGCTTGAAGATGTATATGCCGACATGACATCGGCAACCATAGTTTTTTCATCTATCAAAAATTTATCAAATTTTTCTTTTTCTTCCGGGGATACTGTCTTGAGATTTTGCCACGAATATAAAATATGAGTGACTTCTCCTCAGCTCAGGGGCGAAAGGTAAAAGTTAACGTTTCGTTCCTTAGGAATTAAAGAGCCCATTTAGAATATAAGGGTCTAGGCCGAATAATATAGGAATATCTGTAGATGACGGTTTTTCATAAATGCGTAGCAGTCTTTGTTTTCCCCTCTCAGGCTCTGAAAAAAAATGTTATCCAAGCAGATCAAAAGCATTTACAATTTTGTTATCACATGCATGACAAAAAAGAAAAGAAAAAAAGAAAGAAAAAAAGAGTAATTTCTTTTTCATTTTGCAATATATCACTGGCGTACTGGTGGGGGGCTAGGGGGGGCGCCAGCCCCCCCTAATAAAATTGAATCATGACTTATTTTCAATTCCATATAGAAGTGATGTATAAATGTTCGTGATATCACATTCTGTTGCAAACTGACACATTCCCAAATGGCCAGGAAGAGCATATGTTTTGTTATAGACACTAAGGGGCCGTGGCCACTAACAGTAACACTAGTAAAAAAAAAATCCTTTCCAGAAGCAACTGTGACAAGCACTGCCGGGCGTTCCATACTTACATCATGTAACACTGCACATGTACCCAGTGGCGGATCTAGCCGGCGGGAAGAGGGGGGGGGGGGCCCAATCCGTGAGAAAATATTAGTTGCGACTCTTTTTTGATGTTGTTGACCCGTCAGCCCCCCCCCCCCTCCGTGGATCCACGCCTGCAGAGGAGCCAGTCGTCGACAAGGGGGGGGGGGTGGGGGAGGGGGAGCCAAATCTTAATACAAAATTTAGCGCCGACTCAGCCGGCCAGCGAATAAGCGGGGGGGGGGGGGAGCGCTTCTTTTTTTTTCTTTTTTTTGATCGAGTATTTGAGGAAAAATTTAGCGCCGAATCAGCCGGTCAGTGAATAATTTTTTTTTTGGGGGGGGAGGGGCGCTTTTGTTTTTTGTTTTAAAAAAGGTTAACTTTACGTTATTATCCTATTTTTTTAATCTTTTTTTTTTGGGGGGGGGGGGGGACTGAATTGAGACAAGAACACGATACAACGAATCGTCTTCTTTCTCTGATAATTTAATGAAACGTGAAAGCTCCCGCGCTTCGCGCGGGATGGGCGAATATGAATTCAGACAAGGATTAAGAGTAATAGTTTAATGAAACGTCAGAGTTTCCGCGCTGCGCGCGAGATGGGCGAAAATGAATTCAGACAAGGATTAAGAGTCGGAACCGGTACAATGAATCGTCTTCTTTCTCTAATAATTTAATGAAGTGTCTAAGCTTCCGCGCTTTGCGCGGGATGGGCGAAGATGAATTCAGACAAGGATTAAGAGTAATAATTTATTAAGACGTCAAAGCTTCCGCGCTTCGCGCGAGATGGGCGAAAATGAATTCAGACAAGGATTAAGAGTAATAGTTTAATGAAACGTTAGAGTTTCCGCGCTTCACGCGAGATGGGCGAAAATGAATTCAGACAAGGATTAAGAGTCGGAACCGGTACAATGAATCGTCTTCTTTCTCTAATAATTTAATGAAGTGTCTAAGCTTCCGCGCTTTGCGCGGGATGGGCGAAGATGAATTCAGACAAGGATTAAGAGTAATAATTTATTAAGACGTCAAAGCTTCCGCGCTTCGCGCGAGATGGGCGAAAATGAATTCAGACAAGGATTAAGAGTAATAGTTTAATGAAACGTTAGAGTTTCCGCGCTTCACGCGAGATGGGCGAAAATGAATTCAGACAAGGATTAAGAGTCGGAACCGGTACAATGAATCGTCTTCTTTCTCTAATAATTTAATGAAGTGTCAAAGCTTCCGCGCTTCGCGCGAGATGGGCGAAAATGATTTCAGACAAGGATTAAGAGTCGGAACCGGTACAATGAATCGTCTTCTTTCTCTAATAATTTAATGAAGTGTCTAAGCTTCCGCGATTCGCGCGGGAGGGGGAAAACTAAATTCAGATAATAACACGATACAACGAATCGTCTTCTTTCTCTAATAATTTAATGAAACGTGGAAGCTTCCGCGCTTCGCGCGGGATGGGCGAAAATGAATTCAGACAAGGATTAAGAGTAATAATTTATTAAGACGTCAAAGCTTCCGCGCTTCGCGCGAGATGGGCGAAAATGAATTCAGACAAGGATTAAGAGTAATAATTTATTGAAACGTTAAAACTACCGCGCTTCGCGCGGTAGGGGGGGGGGACTGGATCCAAACAAGAATTAAGAGTCGAGAACGGTACAACGGATCGTCTTCTTTCTCTAATAATTTAATGAAGTGTCAAAGTTTCCGCGCTTCGCGCGGGAGGGGGGAGATAGAAAAATAACTTAGTTCCTGGCCCCGGGTTTATAGGGTTAAATTTGTAGACATTTGGATATTGGCTATAATATATTTGTCGGTAATTGGTTGCTCGTTTTGTCGGTAATTGGTGGCCTCTACTCCCCTCCCCACTCCCCCATTGATAAAGATCTAGCGACGCCCCTGATAACGACACAGTTTATACACTCGAGAAAATGTTTGCAAATACTACTGATGAAGTACCGGACCACCGTGTTTGTGCATTGTGCGGCATCAATTAAAGCATATACAACGTCTCAAGACGTGACAGATCACTTTTCTCTAACTTCTAACCAATCAGAAGGCCTCGTTTTTTCTCCAAGAAGTGCTGGTGGACATTATGCGCCAAATGTGGTTCTCAAATTGCAAAAGATCCCTACTATTGGAAGGGGTAGGAGAAAGCAATTTTACGTCATATTGCTCCAGGAAGTGCCTGAAAATGCGTCTAATTTGGCTCTAAAATTGCAAATGCTTCTTACTCTGGGAGGGGGCCAGAACCCCCTCCCAGACCCACCCCCGCTTGGTCGCTCCGCTCCCTCGCCGCTAAAGCCCTGTTCTGTCGCTTCATCGTTTTTCATATATTTAACCCCATGCCATTTTATGCCCCCACCCCCCGGTAAGAAATTCCTGGATTCGCCACTGATGCCCATACCCCTTGAGCTTCGGGGGCTCCGCCCCCCTTGACCCCCGCCGGGGCTTTGCCCCTCGACCCCACTTTGCGAAACGTTCAGCGGAGCCTGCATGTTAGAGTGGGGTGCTGCGGATTTTTTTTTTGTCAGCCCCCCCAAACGTTTTTGCTCATTACGCCACTGCAATATATCTTTAACTTTCAGATGCCCCTCATCACTATTTTCATCTAGGTTTGATGAAATGTTGAAAACAATTCTCCGCCCATGGCCCATACCATACCAGGTGCAGGGGCGGTGGAGCGACGGAGCGGAAGACTGAAAGAACCTTTGGTAAATAACAATCATCTATAAATGCGAGTGAGCGTAGCGAGCGAACTTTAGGAAGTTGCTCTTAGTCGCTTGACAGTAGGGGCGCCTTTAATGATAAGAGATGAATATTCAGGGGCCCGTCTTAGGGCCCCTGGTGGGGGTCCAGAGGCCGGAGCCCCCGGAAGCTCAGGGGATTAGGCATTTAATTACGGTCAGAAGAGCATCCAAGAGCTCCCCTTGGGCCCTTGGTGTCCGAAAGTTATACATGTAGGGGTTTTAGATATGACGGTTAAATGAGCATCCATGGGCCTGCCTTGGGGACCTTGCGGCCCAGGGGTGGAACCCCCGTAATTCAGGGGTTTTAGGTATTTAAATACGATTAGATGAGCATTCAGGGGCCGTCTTAAGGCCCCTGGTGTCCAGGGGGCAGAGCTCCGGAAGCTCAGGGGTTTTAGGCATGTCATGTCGGTCAGATGAGCATAATTTATTTGGGTCAATGTCGCTATTCATAAGGACCGCTATTCATAAGGTCCGCTATTCATAAGGTCAACTATTCATAAGGACCGCTATTCATAAGGTCCGCTATTCATAATTGGAGAAAAGGGTCATTATTCATAAGGGTCATTATTCAGAAGGACCGCTATTCATAATCAAAGAAGAGGGTCGGTATTCATAATAGGAGAAGAGGGTCGCTATTCATAATACCACGCGAGGGTCGCTATTCATAAGGGTCCCTATTCATAATATTACAAAAGGGTCGGTATTCATAACACAGAAAGAGGGTCGCTATTCATAATACGAAATGAGGGTCGCTATTCATAATACGATGTGAGGGTCGCTATTCATAACAGGAGAAGAGGGTCGCTATTAATAAAAGAGTAGAGGGTTGCTATTCATAATACAAAATGAGGGTCGCTATTCATAATACGAAATGAGGTTCGCTATTTATAATAGGAGTAGGGGGTCGATATTCATAAAAGGAGTAGAGGGTCGCTATTCATAATAGGAAATGAGGGTCGCTATTCATAATAGGAGAAGAGGGTCGCTATTCATAATAGGAGTAGGGGTCGCTATTCATAATAGGAGAAGAGGGTCGCTATTCATAATAGGAGTACAGGGTTGCTATTCATAATACAAAATGAGGGTCGCTATTCATAATAAGAAATGAGGGTCGCTATTCATAATAGGAGAAGAGGGTCGCTATTAATAAAAGAGTAGAGGGTTGCTATTCATACTACAAAATGAAGGTCGCTATATATTCATAATACGAAATTAGGGTCGCTATTCATAATAGGAGAAGAGGGTCGCTATTCATAATAGGAGTAGGGGATCGCTATTCATAATGGGAAAGGTCTCTATTCATAATACGACATGAGGGTCGCTATTCATAATACCGAAAAAGTCAAAATGACATAAGCAATAAACTAAATGTTAATAAGAAAGCGACATACTGGATAGAGGACACCCCATGGCTACAGCATAGGCCGGGGGGGGGGGGGGGGGTAGGCCACATGGTCCCAAACATTTGAAGAAAATATTTATTGAAAACTC